CCCCCCTCGGTCCCTGCCGGTGGATATCTCCTGATGTGGATGCTGAGCCTCAGAGCACCCTCCCTGTCACCCAAGGAGCTGGGCAACTGGTGTGGGTCAACCAGCAGGTCTCTTGAGCATCCTTCCTCCATCTCTTTCACCGCTATGTGTGTACACTCCCCCAAGCTCTCCCCACACAGCATCTCAGGGCATGCAGTGCAGCCCCAGAGCCTCCTGGCAAGTGGGCACCGGCCGGGCTCCCAGGGGTGCCCGCCCACAGAGGAGGCGAGTTGCTTTCTGAAGTGCCGCAAGGAAACCATGCAACCAGATTCACGTAGCAAGTGTCTCTTCAGCGGGTTTGCCCCTATATACAGGTGCATCTACTGAATATATACATGCCTTAGCAATAGTATACTTGAAACTGTGCCACGCGTGACTTGATGGTGCTGAACTAATGCGTACAAAAGTATGGAGGGGTCCCTGTACCCTCCAAGTACAAAGTTCCTTCTGTCCAGCCGCAGGAAGGTCCGATTTTGGGGCATGACAGGTAACCTGCCAGGGATCCTGGGGGGGACGTGGCTTTGGCACCTGCCCGGTTTGCTCACGTTGCTGCCGGATCCGGCAGGACAGACTGGTGCCAGACTGCTGCGGGATGCTCAGCGCGGCAGAGTCCAGCCCAAGCACTTCAGCCGAGCTGCGATCCCTGGGCCGAGATGTGTGCGATCCACAGGCCGGGGTGCCCGCTGCTCCATGCCCACGGGCTGTTGCAGGCTTGGGCATCAGGCAGCAGCCGGCGAAAGCTGTGTGTATTCCTCTTACGGCAGGTGAAGATGTTGGTTAACCTTGGGAGAGGAAGACCTGGAGATTTCCCCTTGGAGGTGAAAGGTGCTAAAATCCCACCGCCAGCTGCCGCGCAGCACCCGCAGGGCATCCCAAATGCATTTCCTGGGCAGTTGAGCAGCTCTGGAGCAGCTGTGGTCGGTGAGAGGAGGTCCTCTCGGCACGCCTCTCGCCAGGACGGCAGGTGAAGATGTTGGTTAACCTTGGGAGAGGAAGACCTGGAGATTTCCCCTTGGAGGTGAAAGGTGCTAAAATCCCACCGCCAGCTGCCGCGCAGCACCCGCAGGGCATCCCAAATGCATTTCCTGGGCAGTTGAGCAGCTCTGGAGCAGCTGTGGTCGGTGAGAGGAGGTCCTCTCGGCACGCCTCTCGCCAGGGCTGGCATGCCCACTCCTCCCCAGCTGAC